CTCTCTCTCTCTCTCTCTCTCTCAGACAGACTGTCTGTCTGTGTGGAGAGGGACAGAGGGAGAGAGAGCAGCGCAGCAGTCAGCACCTCTCCCCACCCGAGGCTGAAGGTCAACAGACGATCATGCTAAGCTTGCTAACTGTTCCACCCTCTGACTGATGCAGGGGCGTGTCTTAGAGAGAGGCTTTTATACCAGAACACAGCCGCTGTGACGAAACTGTGGAGAAGCGCGTCAGAGCGGAGAGCCATTAACCAATATGCAAATTAGCCTGCAGTAACACTGCTCTGCCCATATGAGCAGCAAAAAGATGTTTTTAGACCAAATATTATAGATTTGAACAAATACGCAAAATTAGCACAGAAACAGTACTATATAACATTTTAGACACATTCTAGACAGTTTGTCAGCTAAAAAAAGTTAATTTTGGGGTAAGTTACTCTTTAAAATGTGTGGTTACAGTTGAAGGTCATTCACAAGGCATATTTTAAGTGCCACCCATTGTCCAAGATTGATAACTAAATAATGAAACACTTGATAAATATTAGTTTTAAATTGGTCATTTCTGGTCTAGGCCTGTGTGTTCAGCCACACTTTAAGCATGAAACGAAACCTACGTAGCTATAAATAGACATTGGACTTTGGTTAATAATTTCCAGCTTCTGACTCCCGGAAGAAACCACAGGTAAAATGAGTAGTTAAGCTGAAAAGACATTATTCAACAGAAAACAAGAACATGTAAGTAGTTATAAAATTCACTCCTAAGAGGCACAAGTTTTTTAAAGCTTTTAATTTGTGTGCAACTTCTGTGGGGTTGTTTGGAGACAAATGGGTGGACCTTGAACCCGTCAGACAGCTTTCACAGTGACATTAGTCGGCTACTGTTACATAGAAATAAATACATTACTGTACTAACAGGGCAAAAATACCTACAGCAATATTATTGTGAAGAAACATTTCTATAATAATATGTTGGTAAACTACATGTTTAAACGTTTTAAAGTTTCAAATTATTAATAGGATTTACTTTCAAGTGACAATAAATCATTTGAAAAATATTATCTTTAGTGTTTATTTAGTTTGTACCACATTATTGGTGCTTTGAATAAAACCTGATTGCCTCATTACAAATGTGAATATTATATATATGTTCATTCTGTTGGTTTTCATAACAGAGTTCACAGAGTTTTCTCTTAACCTTGAATTTAAACAAGTTGCACATTTTTATTGTTTTTTTAAGTTTTGACTTCTGAGTCATTTCAAAAAATGTTATTTTCATCTATATGCTTGAGGAAAAAAACATGTTTATTGTAGTCATCATAAACTTGCTATCCTAGATTAAAGTTTGATGTCTTTTTATAATTTGGTTATAATTTTTTTCTAACCAATATTTCTGAATAGATATTTAAGATTTTAAACCCCACTGTTTTGCTTTGAGAAAAAAAAGGCCCATTTGAACCATTTAATATTAGGAATATATCTTTCATTCTTTTGGCTAAATTGCCATCCTGTTTCATTTGAATAAGTACAGCAATCTAACATTTGTTAGAAAGACAGCCATTTCTAAAGTAAACCCTCTAATTTGATCAGCTTAATTGTAATAGATTTTGCAAATATAAAGATTGAATGCAGCAACTTTGTCACTTAGTACAAGAATGCTTTAAACCTAATCTAATAAAACTGCAAAAGGGAACCTTTGCCAAGCCATTTACCCAGTAAAAGGCTTGCATATCCATTAGGTAAAAATTCTCCCAGACAGAAATAGATAGCAATTGATTGGAACTTCCTTGAAAATATGTGATCACTCCCCCCTAATCTGTGATTTGGTGAAGTCACTGGGTAGTCTCCGAACGCCGTTTGGTCACTGGTCTCACTTGTCATTTGATTCTGGATTAGACAACCACTTTTTCTTTTAGAGACTAATAAGTCTCATCAAGAAGTCAATATTGTAGGCATTCAGACAAAAAAAAATAAACAAATAAAAAGAAAAAAAAAAGGGTATTGTCCATGTCAGGACTACGAATGTCATCTTCATTGTATGTTCAATTTGTGATTTTATTACAGTAACTGTTTTAAATTCATAATAATGTTTTTAAGATATTGCCTTATTATGTGTAAAAAGAATTGCCTTAAATTAGAAGGTTAGATTGTTTTATTA